TGCATCAATCTCATGCTCCTTTCTTTACATGTACTACACATGTCTTCTCTTTTACATGCAAATAAATATATGAGCATAGCAAACATGTATATCCTTATGAAAACATACACTTGAATAGTTTACTTAAGCCTCTCTTATGAATATGTAAGAATTATGTGCATGTGCATGTTGACGCGGAAGTATCAAATGGTAAAGGAGCTCTTTTGAACAATGGTAAAGGAGGTTCTTTTGAACCAAATGATAAAAGAGGTTCTTTTGAACCAAATGGTAAAGGAGATTCTTTTGAACCAAATGGTAAAGGAATGGTCAATTTTATGTACATGATCAGTACAAGTGATACTTACGAGACGGGTGTTATATATATGTTAAGATATTATGAACATTTCATATTTATGTTATATGTATTTAATGTTATTATTTGAGGCAAGAATGTTTTAAGAGAAAGAATGAAAAGTTTATGAAATGAATAAGAACTTAAAGGTTGTAGTAAAGACATGTATCACCTTAAACAAATGTTGTTTTATGTTTGATTATTCTTTTATTGAGATATCAATGCATATTGCAGTTTTCTTCCCTTAAACCTAAATTTATTTGAATGTCATTTGCACCTATTGAGTTGTGACTCACCCATGTTGTGGGACACTTTTCAGTAGGATCTGGTAAAGAATAAATGGCGGATAGACCTCCCCTTACGTACCGTCGTAGGGAGACGACGGGAGGCAGGTTCCTTTTTGAGTTTTTGATGTTTTGGTATAGATAACCGTATAGGATAACCTTGATAGTTAGTTCTATTTTGAAACACTTCCTTTTGTATTGAATCTTCATGTATATGTTAATTTTGGTTTATGAATGAAATGAAAAATTTTACTTTGAGTTCTTTAGTGACTCTTTCATCATGTTGAGAATGTTTTATGTATGTTTGGAGACATGTTAATAGAGAAATATGAAGTTTTTATTAATTCCTACTATCCGACTTTTGTTTCCGCCTCGTACTTGCGAGCTAACCGGGCGGAGTCATGACACAATTATAACAGGCATGCAACTATGAAATTTGCAATGATAAACAGTTTTCATCATTTCTAAATCAGTAAACTGCGCATTGCAACCCATGGCGTGCATCAATGCAACTTAGAATTCTCACATAAGCAAAATACTACTGAGAAAATCCTCGAACACAAACCAATAAAAGTCACAGATTCTCCACCAGTCCAGTTCAAGTCCCCCACTTCCAAAAAAAACAAGATGCAGTCAATGAAAAGAAGAGCATCTCCAAAAATAAATCTTGATAGGGGCCACCAACCAATGTCAGATCCAATGATATCAATTCTGGTATAAAAACGCATATCTATGACCAAGCGTACCATGACTAGAAACTAGAAAGCAATGTACATCTCTCCTAATGAATTCATCACCTCCCCTTTACAACATTGACACCAACCGACCAGAACTTTGCCTCCCAGGTGATTATTTTACTTATTAAAAATAAATAAATAACCAAACAAATGAACATTACCCCTCAAATTATTACTACTCAGCCAACACATTTTGCTGATTCATGTTTTACAGATGTATTTCATTTAAGGCTTATTCATACTTTTCAACTAAAAAATTTTTCCAATGTATTTGATTTGGTTAATTCATTTTAAGTCATAAGAAAAAAACAGATGAGCCATATGTAAAGCAGAACCACCGGATAAATGAGAAAACCCAAGTGCATATACGCTTATGAATATTGCAGTGCCCCCGCCAATTGTCTCATGATAAAGAAATGAAACTCACCATCTTAACATTGTTATGGCAATCCAAAAGCGGCTTCCGAGCAATCAGATGGTAAGCAAGACATGCAAAGCTGAAAATATCAGCAGAAGATCCAATTGTGCTAGACTGGCTCCGAACCAATTCTGGGGCAGTATAATTGAGAGATGGCTGAAGTGGTAAAATGGAATCCTCAACATCATATTCCTGAAAATGCTCAATTCAACATAAGCTGTTAGAAGGGCCTTCTCACTAAATTCAAAAAGTAAAATTTATAAAATGAAAAAACAAACGAACAAACAGTGATAAGCCAGCAATCTCTCTGTATCAATGAAAATTAAGCATAAAGATAAGGAAAAAGATGGTACCCTGGAGCTCAGCTAACTTCCAGAGATTATTTTTAAGTGAGGTGTTGCAGAATATGTGAAAAATAAGCAGCAGCAAAATTTCAGAAAGAGTTATGCAGAATAAAACTAAAGTTCACCGGCAGTAAAAATCCTACCGGATAGTGAAAAGTCTGCGTTGCTGTCAAGCCACTAGAGGCTTGATCAGTAGAAATTGCAAAACCAAAACCACCTAGCTTCCAAGCTCCAGTAGCAGTAATGAACACGGTCTGCAAGCACAAAATCAGATGAACTTATGTGTCAATGCCTAATGCTGTTGGTTAAGGAAAAAGTTGAAATAAAACAAAGAAACGCATGTTTTCAAAAGAAAATAACATGAGAAAAATAAAATAAAAATGGTAATAAATCTAACATTTTAAACCCTAAAAAGAAGAAAACTCGAACAAGAAAAACACTTCATCTTCTTCTATTTCACTGGCATTCAAAAAGACAGAAAAATCAAGAAATTCAAAACTTTCGTATTTTAGTTCACCGAAGAAAATTTAAATAAATTAAAAAATAGAGAAAAAAAAACATAAAACATATAATGGAAAATTTTGTGAGCAACTTGAAACAGATATTCAGTTGCAGAGAAGAAACAAGGAGAAATTTGAGCAACTTGAAACACCGAATCATGTTAGCCTTTTTTTTCTTCTTCTTTTTTTTTTTGCGCTGGCATATATTTATCAGAAAAAATAAGCAAGCTTCCTTAGTTCCCCTCTGCTCAAACTTGATTGATATGAGTTTTGCAAGAACTACACAGCAGATGCTCTCAACTGTGGTCGTTGACTCTATTGATTTTCCTCTCAATGAAATGATGTCAATCCAGGAAGTCAAGTCTTAGTCAGGCTACCAACGTAGCAATCCTATCTAAACTTGATTATGCTATGTTTGCCTAATATAATCTGCCTACGTTTGCAAAAAAAACATTTGTAAACCAAAAAACGAATCAGCCAACTGAAGTTTGCGATTTAGAACATATGCAAACTAAAGTAGGATGGATACAAACAAAATATGAAAGTAGAATAATGATATTACACTAGCAGTTTTTTAAATTTACTTATGAATAAACAATGATAAACACAACTATTTTGAAGCACAAATATGATAATAAAAATGTAATGAGGGTCTGATGATTGAAACTCTAGTTATGTTAACCGTCAAACTATGCCGTACCTTGCAACCAATTCTATGGAAAATGACAAAAAAGGCAGCCAACTAATGCGAAGTCAAGCAAGTATGTTTTGGACTACCTCGGTCACAATTAAAATCGCTCAAACATCCTCCGTTCATGAAATGAATTGCAATAACAAGCCCTTAATCAAAACCCTCAATTCTGCTAAAATAAGAAAGTTGTCGAGGGGCTCATTGATGAAGGGATCCATGCAACTGTTGCTCAACATGAGTTATCAAAAAACCAAGCCATATTCTCTCAACCCTCTCCCAAATAGATATGATCTCCCACCTAGTTGCTCTCTCGCCAAAGATGAGCTACTGCCATGTTCACATCATGCGCCCATGTACAAACCGCCCATCACTCATTCCTCCTTTCTCGATGACCTCAAGAAAACACAACAACCAAGGACCTTCTCTAGCTTTCCAGCTTCACTCTTTCTCTCTCAACTTCATTCTCCAACTCTCTCTTTCAATTTCCCTCTCTAACTCTTTTTCTCTATTCCTCTTTATCTCTTTCTCACTCTACTTCTCTCTAACTCTTTCTCTATTTCTCTCTGAACTTGCCATTCTCTTATTTTCTTTCTCTCCACTTCTCTCTAACTCTTACTCTCCTTTTCTCTCTATTCCTTTTTTTTAAATCTCAGCCTCTAGTTCCCGTATGGATCTAATGGCTACCAATAGAAATCCTTAGGAAGCCCTCTTAAATCACATTGAGTTCCATCCATAGCTAGACAACTGATTTAGGAAGGATTATATTACAGCAATTATTCATTATTCTATAGTTATTTGTTTCTTTATTAAGATCTCTTATACATATCTATAAATAGGGATTATGTTGTATAATAAAGTTAAGTTTTTCCTCTCAAATCCATGATTTCAACATGGTATCAAAGACACAACGGAAGTAAACCGGAAACCATCGAAAGCCGAGCGAGAAGGATGGAATCGGAGCCTAGTGGGAAAAAGCCTTACCGGATGAAGCCTAACTTGGAGCCGGAAGCCTCGATCCTCATGGAAGACGAAGCCTCAGCCTCACGGAGTCGGAGCCTACGGAAGACAAAGAACCAGAAGCCTCGATCCTCGCGGGATGGAGCTTTGCCTACGGAACTAGAAGACGAAGATAAAGCCTCACGGATGCCTCGATCTGTCAGTGGAACCTGAAGAAGAAGATGGGACAGAGAACGAGAGAAGCTACGAGACAGAACTTCTTGAGTCCGCTCACCACCCTGTCTTATTCACGGGATTTTCGAACCAGTGAGACAAAATCAGGTGACCTAATTTAATCATACTTGAGACCTTATTAAACCCATATTTATTTAATAAATATCATCCTTTACTATTGATATAATCAAATCAACATTTATTGCTATTATAATTAAAGTAGTTTTATTACTACCTATTGTTGTAATACCACAATGTCTGAAGAAAATTCATCCCAAAGTTTTGATCAATTTGAAGATTCTATGATACACCAAGAACGAGGTGATCTCCAAAGCATGCAACATTCATATCTCCTAAACAGGAAGAAGTATCTAAAGTGGTCTCAATTTGTGAAGACCTACATAAAGGGAAAAGGAAAAATACACCACCTCGGAGGAGGACCAAAAGGAAGAGATTCTAATTTTGGGGCATGGGATGAAGCGGACTCCATGATTATGGAATTCCATGACTCTAGAAATTAACAATACGTTTATATTCCTTTCCACTGCAAATGACATATGAGATGTCGCCAGACAAACTTTTTCAAAAGTTCAAGATGCTGCTCAAATCTCTGAAATTAAAATCAAAGTATGAAGCACAAAACAAGGAAACAAGAACGTGACGGAGTAAGCCACTCTTCTACAAAATCAATGGCAAGAACTTGATCACTGCAGATGCATAGAGACTAGATGTCCAGAAGATGTCGCATACTAAAAAAGCTTCATTGAAAAAGATAGAGTTTATGATTTTTTTTTTTTTTTGAGGACTAAATGTAGCATTTTATAAAGTAAGAGTCAGAATCCTTGATAAAGAGGAGGCACTATCACTAAATGAAACCATTGCTCCCATCCGCATTGAAGAAAGCCAACGAGGAGAAATATTGGAGTCAAAAGTTGTTGAAAGCTCAGCAATAATAACCAAAGAAGCACCATGGAAGGAGAAAGCAAAATTTAAAGACACTCTCTTTGGTGTAGCTATTGCAAGAAGTCAAGACATACAGAGGAGACATGCTGGAAGATACACGGAAAGCCTCCAAGGAGTGGAACCAAAGAAATGAGAAAAGGGACATCATACGCCAACACTATAACAAGTTAGCCTAAGCCAGAAACCCTGACCAGCTTCAAATAACTCAATAAAGAAGACATTGACAAACTAAGAAAACTTTTGGTATCCCTTAGAAAACCAATTGCATCTCCCTCTCTAGCACTTTCAGGTAAGTTTCTCATATTCACTGGGTTAAGTGCCTCTAGAAATCATTTTAAAGGAATATGGATCATTGACCCAGAAGCCACATATCACATGACAAACTCCACTATCCACTGCATCAACTATATGGTTCTCTTGCCACAGAAAGAAGGCTAAGGAGACAAACCCTTATCTCCTTCCCTCACTCTAAAAAATGTGCCCAATGTACCTCAACAATCTACAAAACTTAGATCTATATAAAAACTTACTAGTGATCATTATTCTCATATATTATTTAAACCTACCTTATTTCAGAACCAGAGATCTGGGAAAAATATTGGGCTTGCTAATGAGAGAGCTGGACTATACTACCTGGAAGAGCTTAACAAATCTAAAAATAGCTACTCTATATTATCCTTAATTGATAAGAGATTTACTATCTGGCTTAATCAATTCATATTAGGACATCCATCATTAGAGGTCTTAAAACACATGTATCCAAAACTTTTTCATAAATTGAAAAATGAAAATTTTCATTGTGAAACTTGTGAATTAGCTAAACATAAAAAAACCTATTTTTCAAACAAAAATGAAAGATGCGATGCACCCTTCTATCTTATTTATAGTAACATATGGGGACCTTAAAAAATCTTCAATATCGCTGGGGCTCGCTGGTTTGTATCTATCATTGATGATTGTACTCGAGTATCTTTTATTTATCTCCTCAAAAATAAATGTGAAGTTAGCACCATTCTTCCTATTTTTCACACCATGATCCATAATCAATTCATGATCAAAATAAAGAAATTTTGTTCTACAATGTTAAATATTATTTCAACAAAACCCTATACTCATATTTTCAGAGTGAATGAATCATCCACGAGTCCTACGTTCACACCCCATAACAAAATGGGATTGCGGAAAGAAAGAATAGCACCTCCTAGCCTCCACTTTTGCCTTCCTACACCATAATATACCCAAATCCTACTGGAGGTAAGCCATCCTAATTACCACATACCTCATAAATCGACTACCTTCAAAAACTTTGGGAATGAAAGTTCCAATGGATATTTTGTCCTCCTTTTATCCCGAGTTTCAAACCCATAATAACCTTACATCCAGAATCTTTAGGTGCACCACCTATGTTCACATCCATAGTCATAATAGACGAAAAATACATCCAAGGGCATTTAAATGTATCTTTATTGGATATTCTGCCACCCAAAAAGGTTACAAGTGTTAGAATCCCCCTACAAAGAAAACGCTAGAATACATTAATGTCATTTTTTATGAATAAAATTCCTACTTTACCAAACCTCATCTTCAGAGGGAGACTGACATAGAGGAAAATCATCTTCAGAGGGAGACTAAAATAGAGGAAAATGATGAAAGTATGATTGCACCTCTAAACCTTCCTCTACCAGATCAAAATAATCCACCTGAAACTCAAAATAGGAAAATTGAAGTAAAAATTTTCCTTAGATTTGGGAATGTATGTTCCAGGCATACAAGTTCAAACTATGCTCCGAAGCAGGTGAACAATCTCCTTAAAATAAGGTAAATCCTCCATCACCTAACAACGGTTTTTTCGACCTCCGTCGCCCACAAACTACCGTCCTTCTGACCACCATCACCTAACTACGGTCTTTCCAACCCTCGTCGCCCATCG